TCTTGATAAAATCTGTAGTCTATTCATTCGTTCATGAATTTTTACACATAATACAATGTCCCAACAGCCGATGTTCCATCCAACCCGTGCAGCCCGTCACCCTGCGGACCGAACAGTAGATGTAGATCGAATAACGGCCAAGCAATATGTAGTTGTGTGCCAGGTTATTTAGGAAATCCGCCTAACTGTCGTCCAGAGTGTATAGTCAATTCAGAGTGCCCACAAAATGAAATTTGTACAAATCAAAAATGTAGAAATCCTTGCATCGGGACCTGCGGTTTAGGTGCTCGTTGCACAGTTGCAAATCGCAATCCCATTTGCCACTGTCCGGAAGGATTCACGGGTGATCCATTCGTTAGATGCCTTCCACCTCGTAAGTCCTCGCAACGTACTCAGGTATCCTTCAATGGCCTGTTTAATACATTTAAGCGGATTTTTAGCACCAGTTCCAACGGAACCGATAAACGTTTGCCAACCGTCACCCTGTGGACCCAATGCTCAGTGTCAGATAGCAGGAAACTCACCCTCTTGCTCCTGTTTACCCGATTTCATCGGTTCGCCACCGAATTGCAGGCCTGAGTGCGTCAGCAATAGCGAGTGTCCTAATAGTCAAGCATGCGTGAACCAAAAATGCAGAGATCCTTGCCCCGGGTCCTGTGGAACTAATGCTCAGTGTCGAACTGTCAGCCATACGCCAATGTGTTACTGTGATAATGGATACACCGGCGATCCTTTCACTCAATGCATTATTAGACCCAGTAAGAATTTTACATACCCAAAAACAGAATTCTTTTTATTTAATTTTAATAGTGAATCAATAATTCAGATATTTTTTTTAAATAACAATAATCCTTTGACTTTGTTTATTTAATAGTAATTATTAACACTTTGATTTAATAAGAATATTTAAATGTTTTAAATAAGATAAAGGGCGATCAATTATATTGCCACCTACGCTATTTTAGTTGAGGCCACCCAAGTGCAAGTGAATCCCTGTTTACCCTCCCCTTGCGGATCGAACGCGAGATGCACAGAGAGAAACGATGCAGGCTCTTGCACCTGCCTTCCGGGTTACGTGGGAAATCCTTACGACGGATGTAGACCAGAATGCGTTCTAGACTCTGACTGTTCACCTAATCGAGCTTGTATCAATTCTAAATGCGTTGACCCGTGCCCGGGAACGTGTGGTACCAACGCAGAGTGTCGAATTATTAATCACCGAGCTACTTGCTCTTGCTTTACTGGTTACACTGGTGACCCTTATCGATACTGTTCCGTCCAACCCATTGGTAAGTCTCATCCTAAACCTCCATAAATTACAATTGTTTAGCACATTTGCATCATAAAATATCGACCAATAAAAGATAATATAATGTTTCATGTACTAATCGTTAAATTCTAATGCTTGATACAATATTTTATATAATATTTCATAAAATAATTTACATTGCTACATATATAAAGATTAATTTTAAATGGTATTTCCTGTTAATTTCATGAAGTGATAAACCAGAAAAATTTTTCGTTTATACAATACGATAATGATGCAAATGAGTTAAATGTTTGTTTTAGAAGAAAATTATTTATTATATTGTCCCTCCAGTTTCTGATGCCCCGAAAGACCCTTGTGGAAATGCTCAGTGCGGTCCAAATAGCCAGTGCAGAGTGATAAACGAAGTAGCTGTTTGCTCTTGCACGCCGGGCTACGTTGGCACGCCACCGGGTTGTAGACCCGAGTGTGTCACTAGTTCAGAATGCGCCTCGGACAGAGCTTGCGTGAGGCAGAAGTGTACGAACCCGTGCCCTGCTTCCTGCGGACAGAATTCTAATTGCAGGGTGATCAATCACGCGCCTCTTTGCAGTTGCATGGGAGGCTACACCGGTGATCCGTTCACTGTGTGTTTCCCCATCCCGTGTAAGTAGAATATTTCGTTCTTTAGGAGGATTACAATTGATATACTTGTTAATATTATTCAATTTTTAATTCTGTTCTGTTAATGCCAATTATTAATTTCAATCTCAGTCATGACAATTTATAACACGTTTATAGTGACACCACCCGTTCAGAACGACGTCATTCCAAAAGATCCGTGCATTCCATCCCCATGTGGCGCCTATTCGGAATGTCGCAACATCGGCGGTATACCGTCTTGTTCTTGCTTAGCTACATACACTGGAAGTCCTCCAAATTGTAGACCAGAATGTAACATAAACTCGGACTGTGCCCCCAACCAAGCCTGTATGAATCAAAAATGTAGAGACCCTTGCCCTGGATCCTGTGCATCTCAAGCTCAATGCACTGTTATCAATCACGTCCCCACTTGCTCATGCCTGCCCGGTTACACCGGAGACCCGTTCACCAATTGCTTCCTCGAACCACGTAAGAGCCCCGAAAAGTATTAATTAATTCTTTAAATTGCATTTTGTCAATTATTATCTTGATGATAAAATATTATAGCTCGTCCGGTTGAAACTGACCCGTGCAATCCTTCGCCTTGCGGACCGAACGCACGTTGTGACAACGGCATTTGCAGTTGTTTGTCGGAATATTTCGGCGATCCGTACACGGGTTGCAGACCGGAATGCGTTCTCAGCAACGAATGTCCAACGAACAGAGCGTGTATTGTATACAAATGCGTCGACCCGTGCGTCGGTATTTGCGGACAGAATGCATTGTGCAACGTTTTCAACCACGTTCCCATGTGCAGTTGTCCCATGGGAATGTCCGGCAATGCTTTCATACTCTGTTCACCCGTCCAAGGTAGATAAACCACCCCCAGAGATTAATTTCTATGAATTTCAAAAATTTCTATGAATGTTTGTGAAATTCTAGTAACTACTGTGAGCGATCCTTGCAATCCGTCACCTTGTGGTCCCAATAGCCAATGCAGGCAAAACAATATGCAAGCTGTGTGCTCCTGCATAGACGGATACATCGGCGCTCCGCCTACTTGTAGACCAGAATGCACGGTTAGCTCGGACTGTCCACTAAACGAAGCTTGTACAAACCAAAGATGTAGTAATCCTTGTCCTGGAAGCTGTGGACTGAACGCGATTTGCAACGTCGTGAACCATAATCCCGTGTGTTCATGTAGAGAAAGACTGACCGGTGACCCATTCGTCAGATGTTATCCAATGCGTAAGAATTTGGAAAAGATTAATTTCATTCCTTCACTTCTAATAATAGTGGAAATAATGTAGCCTGTCTGATTTTCGAAGCTGAGAGGCCTCCGATTCCCACCAACCCCTGTCAGCCGTCCCCTTGTGGACCAAACGCGGAATGTCAAGCAATAAATGATCAACCGTCTTGTTCTTGCCTCCAAGAATTCATTGGCTCACCCCCTAATTGCCGACCCGAATGCGTCAGTAATAGCGAGTGTCCCAACCAATTCGCGTGCATCAATCGAAAATGTAGTGATCCTTGTATTAATTCCTGTGGATTGAATGCAATTTGCAACGTCGTCAGTCACACACCGATGTGCGCTTGCAACGATGGGTACATAGGAGATCCGTTTACCCAGTGTAATCCTCAACAATGTAAGAATAGAATTTAGTTCCCAAGTATTAGTACATCGATGAAGAACAAAGTGACCAAAACTTCTAATCGTTTCAGTCGACGTTCAAGTTAGCAGACCAGATCCTTGCACTCCGTCTCCCTGTGGGGCGAATGCAATCTGCAGGGTGCAACAAAACTCTGCTTCCTGTTCCTGTCAGAACGACTATATTGGGAATCCTTACGAGGGCTGCAGACCTGAATGTACCCTTAGTTCGGACTGTCCGACCAATCAGGCGTGTATCAGGTCAAAGTGTAGGGACCCTTGTCCAGGCACTTGTGGCCAGAACGCCCAATGTTACGTTGTCAATCACGCGGCTACGTGTACCTGCTTTGAACGGCACACCGGTGATCCCTTTGTGTACTGTACTCCTCTGAGAGAGCCACGTAAGATCATTTTTTTAAAAAAATCCATAACAAATATTTCATATTTATTATATTTGATGATATTATATTAGACAAGATAATTAGGAAGATTGAAAGCATATTTTATTATTTTACAGTAGAGGTTTGAAGCTTTAATTTAAAAGAGAAATCATAATTTGTTGTTGATCATTTTCTAAACTTGAGCAATTTTCGTGATGCCATAATTTTGTTGAGTAGTGTAATTCATATTCGGTATTTGTTAAAATAATTCATATACAAGAATAGTGGATGTCATATTTACAGAACCAAATCTAGCCAATCCTTGCGAGCCATCGCCTTGCGGACCTTACAGTCAATGTAGAGAGTCCAATGGCCAAGCTACGTGTTCTTGCTTGCCAAATTACACCGGCACTCCTCCCAATTGTCGACCAGAGTGTACAGTCAGCTCCGACTGCCCGTTGAACCGTGCCTGCAGGAATAATAAATGCGAGGATCCTTGTCCCAACTCTTGCGGTCAACAGAGCACGTGCAGAGTCATGAACCACAGTCCAATTTGTAGTTGCAAGCCAGGATTCACTGGCGATCCCTTCACTCAATGCTTCTTCAATCCACGTAAGCGTTCGACATAATCAATCCAAGTATTTCTTCCACATTTATATTTAAAAGGATCCGTCAATGAAAATTCATGTGGAATTCTAGCCCCACTGGTAGAGACGCCGACAGATCCCTGTATAAACTCACCCTGCGGACCGAACTCCCAATGTCGCAACATTAACGGCTCCCCGTCGTGTTCTTGTTCACCTAATTACCTTGGCGTCCCACCAAACTGTCGCCCAGAATGCGTAGTCAACACAGACTGTCCCAGGAACCAAGCGTGTATCCGTGAAAGGTGTCAGGATCCTTGCCCAGGGTCCTGTGGAATTAATAGCATCTGCGCGGTCCACAATCACGTCCCTGTTTGCACGTGTTTGGAAGGATACACCGGCGATCCTTTTACTAGTTGCCAACCCAAACCGATGAGTAAGTTTTAAGCACGATTTAAGTGAAAAGGATTTGACTTCTATAGATTTCATTAATCATGTGATGTTGAAATACAGTAGCGGAAGAGCCGGTAGTAGACCCTTGCAGCAGCTCGCCTTGTGGCCCCAACGCTCAATGTAATAATGGCCTGTGCTCCTGTCTACCTGAATACTTTGGAGACCCTTATATTGGTTGCCGACCGGAATGCGTTTTGAGCACAGACTGTCCCAACGATAAAGCGTGTATTAGAAATAAATGCGTGGACCCTTGCCCGGGAGCTTGTGGTCAAAACGCGGTCTGCAATATTATCAATCATATACCAATGTGCAGTTGCCCTCCAAATACCAATGGAAACGCTTTAATCGTGTGTTCTCCTATCCGAGGTACATATAAATATTGTTCCCCATAATAATCACTGAATTATCATTGTTTCTAATGATAATTGTTAATCGAATGAACAGTTCCTACGACGACGAGACCTTGCAACCCGTCCCCCTGCGGCCCGAACAGCATATGTAGAGAGGTGAACGATCAAGCGGTGTGCACATGTGCCCCAGAATACCTTGGAACCCCGCCACTGTGTAGACCTGAATGCACGATCAGTGCAGATTGCCGCAAGGATCAAGCTTGCGTCAACCAGAAATGTAGAAATCCGTGTCCAGGAACGTGCGGTGTCCAGGCCAGCTGTTTGGTCGTCAACCATAATCCCATTTGCTCTTGTCCGGAACGATATACTGGAGATCCCTTCATCCGATGCGAAATGATCAGTAAGGAGATGAACAATCAGATTCTATGTGCAGTTGCATCTCCTATAACAATTTTACCTCACTTAAGATGGTTTTATTAAAATTCTCAAGTGAATGTTGATACTAAGAATTTTTAAAATAGTTCAAGTCTGTTCAAGTCGTGTTTACTACGATAATCATCGGTTGAAGAAGTAATTGGAAAAAATATTTTTAGATGTTATCTTGGATTTTAATAGAACCACCTTAAAAGCCTTAAAGATTGCTGATTTAAGTGAACTGTGCGTAGGATGATAATATTAAAGCACAATTGCAATGGGATGATTTATTGATACATTTCGTTCGCCAATTGTAGAGGAAGTAATAGTACCCACGAACCCTTGTCAGCCGTCACCCTGCGGTCCATATTCTCAGTGTCAAGTGACCAACGACACCCCGTCCTGTAGCTGCCTGCCCGAGTACACAGGCGTCCCGCCCAACTGCAAACCCGAGTGCATATCGAACCCCGAGTGCCCCAGCCACCAAACCTGCGTGCGACAGAAATGCAGGGACCCGTGCCCGGGTCTCTGCGGCGAGAGTGCTGAATGCCACGTGACTTACCACGTGCCCAACTGCGTTTGCCCGAACGGTTTCACCGGCGATCCTTACACTCGTTGCACGATAATAAGTAAGGGAGAGATCGACTCGCGTTCGATTGTAGATGGACTAATCGTAATTTTTCTTTTCTAGCTCGCGACCCAGTTCAACCGTCGCCCTGCGCGGAAGGCGCTTGCGGCTCAAACGCGCTTTGCAGAGAACGAGACGGTCTCGGCGTTTGCTATTGCCCCTCTGAATACGTCGGCAATCCGTACGTAGGCTGTAGACCCGAGTGCGTGATTAACCCTGATTGTCCGACGAATCGAATGTGCGTCCGAAACAAATGCCAAGACCCGTGCCCCGGTACCTGCGGTCAAAACGCCGAATGCTCGGTAGTTAATCATCAACCGTTCTGCAATTGCCGGCCAGGATTCACTGGCGACCCATTTGTCGTGTGCAGCATGGATAGTAAGTGGAACGCACCTTCTAAATGTACAATGGCCCTCATTAATATAAGGGTACACTTCAGATGGGAATAACTTTTTTAATATTGGACCAATCAGTTATTCTCAATTAGAAGAATATTCAATTCATTCAATTATTCCCTGTATATTAATCGAACGCAACTTGTTTACCCAGTAATAGTTCCCAGTAAAGAGAACGTATGTAGCCCGTCACCCTGCGGCCCGAACAGTCAATGCAAAGAGATATCCGGGCAAGCCGTGTGCTCGTGTCTCCCGACGTACGTAGGCACACCTCCTGGATGTCGACCCGAGTGCGTATCCAGCTCCGAGTGCCCCACCCAGCTTGCGTGCAAAGACTACAAATGCGTGAACCCGTGCCCGAGCCCCTGCGGCCTGAACACCAAATGTGTAGTCGTGAACCACAGCCCCATATGCAGTTGCATGCCCGGATACAGCGGAGATCCTTTCACCATTTGCTCACAGATACCACGTAATACCATGACGATCCATTCCGAATTTTTGTAGAGATTCCTTCCTCGTGCAGTTAAGGAGCACAGATTATTAATTTTAGCTGTGACCCCCGGTCCAACGGAAAAAGACCCTTGCGTGCCATCTCCTTGCGGTAGCTTCGCCCAATGCAGGAACATACGTGATTCCGCTGCTTGTAGCTGCTTGGAAGGCTATACAGGCCAGCCTCCGAACTGTAGACCCGAGTGTACGATCAATTCCGAGTGCCAGAGCGACATGGCCTGCATCACAATGAAATGCAGAGACCCTTGCCCAGGCTCCTGCGGTTCCGGCGCGACCTGCGCCGTGGTTAATCACATTCCCGTGTGCAATTGCCCCGAAGGTTTCACAGGAAACCCGTTCACCTCGTGCCAATTATTGCCAGCCACACGTAAGAACCCTTCGTCCTTGAATGGAAGATCGACTGTAGCCTGTTTTTCTGAACTCGTTTGACTTTGCAGCGGCTCCGGTGGAGGACGAATGTACCCCGTCACCCTGTGGTCCCAATGCCGAGTGCATAAACGGTGTTTGCACGTGCCTGTCCGAGTTCCAAGGAAACCCGTACCTAGGATGTCGACCTGAATGCGTTCTAAACGCGGATTGTCCCCGAGACAGGGCCTGCTTGCGTAACAAGTGCATGGATCCCTGCCCTGGAACCTGTGGCGTAAATGCTAACTGTCTGGTTATCAATCACGTGCCCATGTGCAGCTGCCCTGGAAACATGACTGGAAACGCGTTCAGTCAATGTAACCCTCTGCAAGGTAGCCAAGTACCATTATGGGTTCTCCACGAATCCCTCATTTCTATGATCTTCAGATATTAAATGTTATTTGCAACGATGCATGCACTTCCCTGAAATTTTTAGTAATGATTTTTAAAACCGTGCGAGAACCCGAACATATAGAGAAAATTGATGTCCTGGTCCGATTCGAGATTTCCGGTTTTTTGCACACCTCTAATAATTTTTATGTCCACTAGATATGACACCCACCAACCCGTGTAGCCCGACACCCTGCGGATCCAATAGCGAGTGCAGAGTAGTAAACGGTCAGGCTGTGTGCTCTTGCATCCGTGGATTTTTAGGAAGCCCGCCCACCTGTAGACCCGAGTGCGTAGTGAGCACAGACTGTCCGCAGAACGAGGCCTGTTCCAATCAGAGGTGTATGAACCCTTGTCCAGGAACCTGCGGAATCGGAGCCAAGTGCAATGTCGTCAATCATAATCCCATCTGCAGCTGTCCCGTCCGTTACACCGGCGATCCGTTTATCCAGTGCATACCTTTCTGTAAGGATTCTTGGAATTGCGAGTCAACGTCCCTAATGAACCGTGAATTGAAATCAAATGGAAGATGACGATAAATTGAGATATCCATTTTTACATTCTAGTGGAAGAACCAGTAGTAGACCCTTGCCAACCATCACCCTGCGGCCCGAATTCTCAGTGTCAAGTGATCAACGACTCTCCCTCGTGCTCCTGTTTACCCGGCTTTTCTAGCAGTCCTCCCAACTGTCGCCCAGAATGCGTCAGCAACAGCGAGTGCCCTACTCAATTGGCCTGCATCAATCAGAAGTGTAGAGACCCGTGCACAGGATCTTGCGGAGCCGGTGCCAACTGTTACGTTGTCAGTCACACCCCTATGTGCACATGTCTGAACGGTTACACGGGTGATCCCTTCACCCAATGCGTTTTCAAAGAACGTAAGCATAATTTTCTAAAGAAGACCCTAACTCCCTGACAGTGCAAGCTTTAATGATATCTAATGTTCCAGCGACAGTTATTCCTATGTCCGTCGACCCGTGCAATCCATCCCCTTGCGGCTCGAACGCCGTTTGCAAAGAACTGAACGGTGCAGGATCGTGCACCTGCATTTCTAATTATATTGGAAACCCGTACGAAGGATGTCGACCGGAATGTCTTCTGAATTCCGATTGCCCCGCCAATCAAGCTTGCATGAATAACAAATGCAGAGACCCTTGCCCTGGAACCTGTGGTCGCAACGCAGAATGTCACGTTGTAAATCATTTACCGGTGTGCGAATGCTATCCTAGGTTCACCGGAAACGCGTTCGTTCTCTGTTCACCCATGCCAGGTACATTGCACGCAAGGAAACAATCTACCCTTTACTATATTTCATTATCGAATTCTCTTAAAAAGTGTCATTATTAATCATTCCCTTGCAGAAGTTGATCAAGCGATAAGTCGCCCCTGTAATCCATCCCCCTGCGGGCCCAACAGTCAATGCAGAGCGATCAATGGCCAATCGGTTTGCTCTTGTCTACCCGATTTGATCGGCAGCCCACCGTATTGTAGACCCGAATGCACGGGCAGCGCCGAGTGTGCCCCGAATCTGGCTTGTATCAATCAGAAATGCAGCAACCCTTGCCCCGGATCGTGTGGCTCGAACACGAGATGCGAAACGATCAATCATAATGCTATATGCGCTTGCCAACCCGGTTTCACTGGTGACCCACTCGTTGCATGTTTCGACTTGATAAGTAAGTCGAAATTCCTGATTTCTAAATGAATTTGTAGGAAACAGTGGTTTCTGATTTTCAACAATTTATTCTAGTGGATAAACCTTCACCTAACGTGCCATCATACGTAAACCCCTGCGTACCATCTCCCTGTGGGCCCTATTCCGAATGTCGCGATATAAACGGTCAAGCATCATGTGCCTGTTCGTCAGATTACATGGGAACACCGCCGAATTGCAGGCCAGAGTGTGTACGAAATTCAGAATGTCCTAGTAATCAAGCTTGCATTCAGAGGAAGTGTCGTTACCCTTGCGAAGGAGTTTGCGGTGTAGGCGCCCAGTGTTCTGTGATAAATCACACGCCTATTTGCACGTGCCCCGAAGGATTTTCTGGAGATCCTTTCACTAGATGCTCGCCCGCTCCAGGTAGAAATTTATTCCACGAATTAAGCTTCTATATTTAATTATTGAAGACAAGCTCCCAATTTTTTGAAATATATTTAAAATAAAAGTCATCGTCCTACGTGGCAATTTTTGACGAAAATTTCGTAATTTTTTGGATATTAATATACTGAAAAATAATTGGGAGTAAAACATTGCGTTAACGCACAATTGGCACTTTCTATGTTCATTCTCATTTAACGTTCTTTTTATTAAAGTGATAGAAATGGATAGACCTGTGGATTCTTGTGCAAATTGTGGCGCGAACACTCAGTGTCTCGGCGGAGTTTGCACCTGTTTGCCAGAGTATCAGGGAGACCCTTATCAGGGCTGCCGTCCAGAATGCGTTCTCAATATGGATTGCCCCAGAGATCGCGCTTGTATCAGGAACAAGTGTAACGACCCGTGCGCTGGTACTTGTGGCCAGAACGCCTTGTGCTCCATCGTGAATCATATCCCGATTTGTACCTGCCCGCCCGGAACTTCAGGAAACGCATTCGTAATTTGCTCTACCGTTCAAGGTACATACCAAGTAAATGGTTTATTTATGTGAGAATAATTAGGAGATTTAATTAATCATTTTGATCCGTGAATAGTACAAACGCCCAAAGACCCGTGCAACCCGTCACCCTGCGGACCAAATAGTCAGTGCAGGAAGATAAACGATCAAGCTGTCTGCTCTTGCATCCCTGGTTACTTGGACATGCCACCGAATTGCCGTCCCGAATGTATTCTTAGCTCGGACTGTCCTTCGAATATGGCTTGTAACAATCAGAAATGCGTGGATCCCTGTCCAGGAACTTGCGGAATCAGAGCAGAATGCGTGGTCGTTAATCACAATCCAATCTGTAGCTGCCCGTCCGACCTAACTGGCGATCCCTTCACTACGTGTGTCAGGAGACGTGAGTAATCAAACGTTACTTATTAACAGACTGCAGATTTTATAAATATGTAGGAAAACTGCGATTGCAGAAAACACGAAAGTACATATAAAGTAAATATCCTGATTTCTGGTCGTGTCACAATTTTTACTCACTGGCTTATTTTTCTATAATTTTAAGATAACATAAAATTATAGAAAATCATTTTCGAAATGAACATTACAAATGTTTTATTTAGCATAAAAATCCGCAGTCTGCTCATCGAAATTGACTTTTCTGTTTAAGCTAAGTTATTTATTTTATTCCAAATAGCTGAAGAACCTCAGGTAACGAACTCATGCTTGCCGTCTCCTTGCGGCCCGAACAGTCGCTGCCAAGTGATAAACAATTCTCCATCATGTTCCTGTCTACCCGAATTCCTCGGTTCCCCACCGAACTGTAAACCAGAGTGCGTCAGCAATAGCGAGTGCGCCACTAACTTAGCTTGCATAAATCAAAAATGTCGTGATCCATGCCCTGGTTCTTGCGGTGCAAATTCCGAGTGCCGAGTGGTCAGTCATACACCTATGTGCGTTTGTTCTTACGGCTTCGTTGGCGACCCGTTCGTCCAATGTTTTGCAAGACCAGAAGTTATGACGGAAGACGTGGAGCAACCAACCCCATGCATTCCATCCCCTTGTGGTTCGAACGCTAGGTGCAACGAATTAAACGGCGCAGCTTCTTGCACTTGTCTTCCGGATTACATTGGCAATCCTTACGAAGGTTGCCGACCGGAATGCATCATCAATTCTGACTGTACAGCCGATCAGGCTTGCATCAGGTCCAAATGTCAGAACCCTTGTCCAGGGTTCTGCGGTTTTAACGCTGTCTGCCAAGTCATCAATCACGCACCGATGTGCACTTGTCAATTCGGATACACCGGAGATCCGTTCGGACAGTGCAACGTCGTTCAAGAACTGCGTGAGTGGATCAAATCATTTGCAAATTACATCGATTGAAAAACAGTATTTTTTAACGTGAATATCCTTGACAGCGAAACCAGCAGATCCGTGCAATCCGTCTCCATGTGGCTTGAACAGTCAATGTCGGGAGTCCAATGGGCAAGCTATTTGTTCGTGTCTGCCTACGTTCTTGGGTAGCCCACCGATCTGCCGGGCAGAGTGTATAGCCAGCTCGGACTGTGCCACGAATCGCGCGTGCAAGAACCGCAAATGCGTGGACCCTTGCCCCGGAGTCTGTGGCATCAACGCGAGATGCGAGACGATCAATCACAGCCCGATTTGTAGTTGCAATTCAGGACATACCGGCGATCCGTTCGTTAGATGTTTCCGAGTTCCTAGTAAGTGACTACAGGATTTAATCAAGAATATCCAAATAGTCAATTTATAGCTTTTATTTTTTTATCGAGATATGAGAGTCAGTTCATTTTTTTTAAATAGAATGTCCAATATTTTTCTCGTATTTCAATAAAACATCAAATCCTGAGTGATATAATCCTGATATGATCCTGATGATCATAAAAGTTTATCTGGGTATTTACGATATATTTATATTCGTGATTGGAAGACAGTTCTAAGTGAATGATGTTTCTGCAGTTCCAGCCGAACCAGTGAACCCATGTGTACCTTCACCCTGTGGCCCGTTCTCTATATGCCGCGTTCTTACGGAAACTCCCAGCTGTTCTTGCATGGACAATTACATAGGATCACCGCCGAACTGTCGACCAGAATGTACTATAGATTCGGAATGCGCCAGTAACAGAGCTTGTCTCCGGCAGAAGTGTACAGACCCTTGTCCAGGTTCATGTGGCACGGGAGCTCAGTGCTTAGTAGTGAACCACATGGCAGTATGCATTTGTCCTCAGGGTTACACTGGCGATCCGTTTGTCAATTGCTTCTTGGAATCTCCTCGTAAGCTCGAATTCTATTGTGAAAATCTTTCTTTTCACCTCTCGTTGGGTGTAAAATAATTTGCGAGGAGCAGAGATCATAAATATTGTTCGGATTGTTTCTGGCAGCTTCACCACCGGTTCCCCAAGACGCTTGCAATCCTTCACCGTGCGGTTCCAATGCGGTTTGTCGCGATGGTACTTGCACTTGTATACCGGACTACCGAGGAGATCCATACTATGGCTGTCGACCAGAATGCGTTCAGAATCCAGATTGTCCTTTGGATAGGGCCTGTAACCGCAACAGGTGTTTCGACCCTTGCACTGGTGTTTGCGGTCAGAACGCTGAGTGCGTGGTCATAAATCACACACCTATGTGCAACTGTCCCGATGGCATGTCCGGAAACGCATTCACCGCGTGTTATCCGGTTATGGGTAAATCTACTAAATATTTTATTAAACTCAGTCGTAAATAATACAAGTAATGATACATTACACGCTTTGTCAGATCCAATCATAAATAATACGAATAATAATGCAAGTAATGATACATTACATGTTTTGACAGATCGAGTCATAAATAATACGGAAAATAATACGATTAATGACAGAGAGAAAGTTGAAATATAGTCGAGGAGAAAATATCGAAATTCGTGTAAAGCTGTGGGGTTGATGTCCCTCGCACCTTTAACAAAAAAAGTTGAGATGACACGCTATAAACTCAGTAAAGTACTGCTGTATTTTCCATCTATTTAATTATATTTGGAGTTCCAAATACAAAATCCCATTCTGTAAAATAGTGATTATAACATTGAGAATTATTCTAATTTGGGAGTCCAAGTAAATTCTGTAAAAGAACATTAGTGAGGTCGTAAAATTCAGCCTGTCAAAACAGTTATCTGTTGCGATCATCCGCTCAGTTCCGTTTTTACCAGATAGAAAAATGTAGCCGGTGGAAGAGATTTAGTGCGGTCGTAAAATTCGGCCTGTCATAAAAATTACTGCAGCTTACCTGTCAAAACACTAATTTCAGGTAGGATTTGGTTCTGAGGCGGGTAAGGGCCGACTAAGTAAATTTACTTAGTGCCCAATCCTATAAGCTTTTTACAATGGGCGACTTTTACGATCTCGGTATATCTCTTCTACCAACTATCCCACTGACAAGCTGAAAAGTATATCGGTATACTAATAGATTTACAGCACGTCATCACGACTTCTTTTATTAAAGGTGTAAACGACAGGAATCCCGCTGTTTTACGAGAATTGTTCTATCGTCCCCTCGACTATACCAGCTCTAAGGCCCCTTCGGAGAATAAAGAAAATCGTTTCGTTTTCAGACCCAATAGTAGCAGAACCCTGCAATCCGTCACCCTGTGGTCCGAATAGTAGGTGTCAAAACATCGGCGGGCAAGCTGTCTGCTCCTGTGCCTCCGATTATATCGGGAGCCCTCCTGCCTGTCGACCAGAGTGTCTAGTCAACAGCGACTGTCCTTTGAACGAGGCCTGTGTCAATCTGAAGTGTAGGGATCCGTGTCCAGGGTCTTGCGGAGTGTCAGCCAGATGTCAAGTGGTCAATCACAATCCCATTTGCAGTTGTCCACCAGTATTCACCGGCGATCCTTTCGTGCGCTGTTTCCCGAGACGTAGGTGTTTTTACACCTTCTTTAATTTAACACTAGAACTACCAAAATGGATTAAAAAGACATATTTTTAAATAAAAAGTATCTATACAAAAAATATATCGGTATTTCTAGTGTTAATTATAATTTATTTGACTCTATTTGATATATAATCGACTCTTTCTAAAGCCGAGGAACCCGTGCAACCGACGAACCCATGTGAACCATCACCCTGCGGTCCTAATTCGTTCTGTCAAGTGATCAACGATTCTCCATCGTGTACGTGCAGGCCGGAGTTCATTGGAGCTCCTCCAAATTGTAGACCTGAGTGCGTCAGCAACAGCGAGTGTGGCAGTCAATTAGCGTGCATCAACCGGAAATGCAGAGACCCTTGTCCTGGTTCCTGCGGATCGAACGCCGAGTGCCGTGTCGTGAATCACGTCCCCGCGTGCACTTGCGCGAAGGACTACACGGGAGATCCTTTCGTTCAATGCATTCTCAGGCAACGTAAGCGTCTCGGTGATCCGTTCACGAAATTCTCTAGTCAGACGAGATGAATGGAATTTATATGTTCGTTTTTCGTTTTAGCGACGACGATGACTCCAGTCCGGCCTTGTCAGCCGTCACCGTGCGGAGCTAATGCCATTTGCCGAGAGCAGAATGGCCTCAGCTCCTGCACCTGCCTACTCGAGTACATCGGCAATCCATATGAAGGATGCCGACCGGAATGCACTCGATCGACAGACTGTCCTTCTCATCTGGCTTGCATTAGATCGAAATGCCAGAATCCTTGTCCCGGTTCCTGCGGTGCGAACACCAATTGTCAGGTGGTGAACAATCTACCTGTGTGCACTTGTATACCTCAATACACCGGTGATCCTTACGTAAACTGCGCGTACAAAATTCCGACACGTGAGTAATTCGAATTGCGATGGAACAAAATTTATTTAAAACGGAAATTAATAAGAGTAACATTGTAGTTGAAGAAAAAGACAGGGACGTGTGCCAACCGTCCCCCTGCGGTCCAAACAGCCAATGCCAGAACGTGAATGGTCAAGCAGTATGCTCCTGTTTACCTCAATACGTAGGAACTCCTCCAAACTGCAGGCCTGAATGCGTAGTCAACTCGGAATGCAATTCGAATTTGGCTTGCGTCAACCAGAAGTGTAGAGATCCTTGCCCAGGCACCTGTGGTCGCAACGCTCGATGTAAGGTCGTTCATCACAGCCCCATTTGCAGCTGCGGACAGGATTTAACAGGAGATCCATTCGTTTACTGCTTCGCTTTACCAAGTAAGTTAAAAAAAAAAAAAAACAAGATTTTTCGCCGAGAACAGGTTTTAAATATTTTACTTCGTAGCACCGAAACCGGAAGATCAGTACCCGAAAGACCCATGCGTTCCGTCTCCCTGTGGACCGAACGCGATGTGCAAAGCGATTGGTGACACCCCAGTGTGCACATGCATAAACAACTACATCGGAATGCCACCTAATTGTCGACCGGAGTGTTCGATAAATTCAGATTGCACAGCGAACAGAGCTTGCATTCGAGAGAAGTGCAGAGATCCTTGCCCAGGGTCCTGCGGCTTGAACGCCCGTTGCACGATCGTCAACCACACGCCAGCTTGCACCTGTCCGGAAGGATACACCGGTGATCCTTTCACCAGTTGCTCACCAAACCCTCCACCATCCAGTAAGAGAATTTCGAATAAAACTTCTTTCTAAAATATCCTGTTTTACATAGTGTTCAACTATTTTAATGAGTCACCCTATATTACTTGGATTACATTAAATATTTCATTCCAGTCATGGAATCTCCATCGGATCCGTGCAACCCATCACCCTGCGGACCAAACGCGCAGTGCGATAACGGTGCCTGTAGTTGTATACCCGGTTACTTGGGAGACCCGTACACCATTTGTCGTCCCGAGTGCGTTATAAACACGGACTGTCCTCGGAACGAAGCTTGCATACTGCACAAATGCAGAAATCCATGCGTGGGAACTTGCGGACTGAGCGCTGAGTGCAATGTAATCAATCATCTACCTATGTGCAGCTGTCCGAGAGATACGACAGGCAATGCTTTCGTTTCGTGTAGCCCATTCCAAGGTTTGTTCTTTAATCACTTTTTAATAACCATAAATCGCAATATTACTGTTAAATAAAGACGAGGCATTTGTTTGTCCAAATGATGTACAAAAGCTTTAGTAGTGTAAGTCATTTTCCAGTCAACCTATGCCTTGCATTCCAAATGCTAATATGCATTTCCGGTACCTCCCAATTCCAAAAAGTGACTTACACTACTATAATATTTACTTCTTCATATAGTGACGTGTAATATAATTTGAATATTGCAGAAACGAGTACAACCGACCCGTGCAATCCATCGCCGTGCGGTCCGAACAGCCACTGCCGATCCTCCAATGGTCAAGCCGTATGCAGCTGCGTGACTGGATTCAAGGGTGTACCACCGTCCTGTAGACCAGAGTGCATAGTCAGCTCTGATTGTCCTCGCAACCGAGCTTGCAGCAATCAGAAATGCATAGACCCTTGCCTCGGTGCTTGCGGATTGTCCGCGCAGTGTTCCGTGATCAATCACAATCCCGTGTGCAGCTGCTTCGAGCAGTACACCGGGGACCCATTCGTTCAATGCGTCCCACAAAGTAAGACGAATTTATCCCTGGTTGCCGTTCCGTTTCTGAAGAACAATTTTTTTCGAGCATGAAAATTCCCTTTACAGCAAAAGAGCCAGAAGTCCCGGTAAACCCCTGCCAACCATCACCCTGCGGCCCGAATGCCCAATGCCGCGTGATCAACGGCGCACCCTCTTGTTCCTGTCTGCCTGAATTCACGGGCACCCCGCCAAACTGCAAACCCGAGTGCGTGAGCAACACCGAATGCCCGACGAGCCAAGCTTGCATCAATCAGAGATGCAGAGACCCGTGCCCCGGTTCCTGCGGCAGGAACACTGAATGCAGGACGATAAGCCACACCCCCATGTGCACTTGCGTTAATTCATTCACAGGAAACCCGTTCGTACAATGCACACCCCAACCAAGTAAGACGACACCCTCTACCAATCATTTCTCACAGGTTCGTAAGGCATTAGTTTAATTTGTTGTGTGCCTTGCAGTTGAAGATATTCCAGAAAAAACAAACCCGTGTCAGCCGTCCCCCTGCGGTCCAAACGCCGTTTGCCGCGAGTCTTACGGCTCTGCCCAATGCACCTGTTTACCCGATTTCTACGGCAACCCATACGAAAATTGTAGACCAGAATGTCTTATCAATTCCGATTGTCCGTTTAACCGAGCTTGCATAAGGAACAAGTGTCAGGATCCCTGTCCCGGCACCTGCGGCTTCAATGCCGAGTGCCAGGTGGTCAATCACATCCCGGCATGCAGTTGCAGTTCAGGTTACACCGGCGATCCGTTTAGATATTGCAATCTACTACTTCAACAGGAGCCTCGTAAGTTTCCCGAAAAAGTATAAAATTCCTGAATCTTGAGATGGTCTAACAGTAAGATGCTTCGATAGCTGTACCAAGCTCCAACCCATGCGAACCATCACCCTGCGGACCCAACAGCCAGTGCCGCAACTTGAACGGTCAAGCCAGTTGCTCCTGTTTGCCCGATTTTAAAGGCACTCCGCCCAGATGTAGACCAGAGTGCGTAGTGAGCTCGGAGTGCCCCAGTAATAGGGCTTGCGTGAATCAGAAATGTATTGACCCTTGCCCCGGTGTCTGCGGAATCGACGCGAGGTGTGAGACTTTCCATCACAGCCCCATTTGTAGCTGCGGCGTCGATCAGACGGGAGATCCATTCGTAAAATGCTTTGACGTTACCAGTAAGTTCACCATACAGAAAGATACCGAAGGGAAACTGTATCTCTGGAAATGTCGTCGTTCACCTTGCGACCCTGTTTTAGCAACTGGTCCTCTTGTACCCGTGAACCCCTGCGTTCCGTCGCCCTGCGGCCCGTTCTCGCAATGCCAATATTCAGGAGGTGTTCCATCCTGCTCCTGCTTACCAAATTACGTAGGCTCGGCACCCAATTGTAGACCGGAGTGTACCATTAACTCGGACTGCACCAGTGACAAGGCTTGCGTCAGAGAGAAGTGCAGAGACCCGTGCCCTGGTTCTTGTGGAACAAATGCCCTGTGCACTGTTATCAATCACACGCCTGCGTGCACTTGCCCCAGAGACTATACCGGAGACCCGTTCACCAATTGCCGTTTCATGCCCACGTGTAAGAACACTGATAGGATAATTTAAACTGAACCGAATTTAATTGATTTTAAACCGAACCCGTCTCACTATTGATTAATTTTATTGATGTGAAATGCAGCGGTACTCCCAGCATCCTCAGACCCGTGCAACCCGTCACCCTGTGGACCCAATGCTCTCTGCACCGGAGACGGTGTATGCAGTTGCATGAACGATTACCGTGGTGATCCTTATCAAGGCTGCAGACCAGAATGTGTTCAGAATTCTGATTGCAATTACAACAGAGCTTGCTCCAACAATAAATGCGTGGATCCGTGCGTAGGAATCTGTGGCCAGAACGCTGAGTGCGTTGTCGTGAACCATATTCCCACGTGCAGTTGTGTGCGAGACTTTGAAGGAGATCCGTTCGCCCTCTGTAGACCCGTTCAAAGTGAGTGTAACTACCCCTTAATTAACCCTCTGCATTCTTAGGTCACTCTACTACTTCATCTTAAAATTCTCAAGACAGTTCTATCGATAATAGAATTAAATTTAGTTCAAATTTGGTATAAAGCTTTTAGAAACACGTGGTTGAATTTTTAAAGACTGAGGCTGCCTATGTAAAGAGCAATTAAAAATTTAATTTTTATGTACATGCAGAACTCATTAATATTCGGACGTATTTCAAAACGGACTAATTTTTTTTGTGGATACAACAACGAAAGTCCTGTTTCTCATGAAATATGTAATAATATTTTTAATAACTTTTTTTTAGGGACCATTAGTCTTTGAAAATGTAACTACGTCTTTTTAAAATCTTTACCGAGTAGTATATCGAATTTTATTATCGATAGAACTCCTTAAAATTACCTCTGGAATGACAATATTATTAATTTATTGCACTCCTCTGCTATTAATTATTTGGAGCGCAAAAGATTAATAATACCAAAGTTGTCAGAGAGTCAAAGGGAAAAATAATTATGCAGCAAAGGATTAAGAATCAAGAATCGAAGGACTGTTAATTATTAATTTATTGTACCCTGATAGAACGCGTGAAACCGTGCGAACCCTCGCCTTGCGGACCCAACAGCATTTGCCGCGAGTTCGGCGAACAAGCGTCCTGCTCCTGCCTCCCTGGATACTTCGGAACTCCACCCAGCTGCAGACCCGAGTGTCTGGTCAACTCTGACTGCGAGCAGAGCAGAGCTTGCGTGAACGAGCGTTGCCAAAACCCCTGCGAGAACGCTTGCGGTCAGGGTGCACTGTGCACCGTGCGAAATCACAACCCTATTTGCAGTTGCCCCGTTCAGTATTCCGGTGATCCGTTCGTCAGCTGTTTCCCCATGAGTAAGTAGCCCAGAAGTCCAATTTAAATCGATACAGTCCACTTAAAAAATAATTTGTTCTCCAAATCGACGAAGCATATTTGAATGACGTGAATTTATGGGATGGATTAGATTTTTTATTATAAGAAACTGTCATCCCTGAAAGCATCGAATGTCTGTGAAAAATTGTTAACCAAGCAACCAAACATCTTTGTCAACGAACAGAACCGCAATACGAAGAACCCAGCCAGGACCCGTGCAAACCCTCGCCATGTGGACCGAACTCCCAATGCACAGTGTCGTCAGATAATAAAGCCTCCTGTGCCTGTATGCCCGAGTTCGTAGGCTCGCCTCCCAACTGTAGACCCGAATGCCTTGTGAACAGCGAGTGCCCCGGAAATCGAGCCTGCGTTAAGCAGAAGTGTACCGATCCCTGTTCCGGACTCTGCGGCGCTAATGCGCTCTGCCAAGTCACCCTGCATTACATCCGTTGCGCGTGTCCCGAGGGATACACCGGGGACCCATTCACTGTTTGTTCCGTGGCCAAGAGTAAGACATCCAAATCCCCAATGCGAATAATCGAATGCAAACCGGGCGAGAGATTTAATTCGCGAGTTTCTCTTCACTTCATCGGAATTGTTCAAGTTTCATCGTATTTTCTGTTTTAGTTACTTTGTACATACTGTATATAGAGACTGTACGATACAGAGAAACATTGCATGTATATTATCATATACCTGAAAGTAGCACTTGATACATAATTTAGATTTTGTTCATACACGTTCTCCATTCTCTTATCTTCTTCATTTCTCGATTTCATCTTTCTTCGAGTTCTCTATTTTTGTAAATTAACTTTTCATCACGCAACTTCTTGTAAATTAACCACTCGTTTCATATCTAAATGTGAAACTAATCTTAAAAATTTCGATTTTATTTTAGCACCCGAGCCGCGACCAGTGCCGTCGAGACCGTGCAGTCCTTCACCTTGCGGAGTCAATGCCTATTGTAGAGAGAGGTATAACACCGCGTACTGTGAGTGTCTGCCGGACTTCAGAGGAAATCCATACGAAGGTTGTCAACCGGAGTGTTTGGTGAACACCGAGTGTCCGAAGTCTCAGGCTTGCATCAGGACCAAGTGCCAGGATCCTTGTCCTGGTACTTGCGGCGTGGGAGCAATCTGCACCGTGTCCAATCACATTCCCATCTGCTCTTGCCCAGCACCTACCATTGGAGACGCGTTCACAATTTGTCAAGCCGTTGCCGAAGGTACTTCATAATTTTAGATATAAACTAGTAATAGAACTTCATTTTTTTCAATAAGCATTTGGAATCTCATTCATTTTATTTCTAGTAATTATTATTATCCAATTTGATTTTATTCCGTTTTACTTTGAAATTATATTAGGTCCCAAAGAAACGGATCCTTGTTCGCCATCTCCATGCGGACCGAATACGATCTGCGATAAGGTGGGCGACACAGCCGTCTGCAAGTGCCTACCCGGTCTTCAAGGAATACCCTCGAGCATCACAGGTTGTCATCCAGAGTGCGTAATCAGTTCGGACTGTCCCGGAGACAAGGCGTGCATCAATAATAAATGCATCAACCCCTGTTCGCAAAACGTGTGCGGTATCAAGGCTGTTTGCAAAGCGATCAATCATAGTCCGCTATGCAGCTGCCCGACCCCGTTAATTGGAAATCCATTCGAGGAATGTTACACGAAAATTGGTAATTGAAATACTCCTTATTTATGTCCAGCAGATTATTTTTAGTACACATTTAACATCCTTTTGACTAATCCTTTTATAGAAATTGACCCCTGCAATCCATCTCCGTGCACTTATAACGGCGAGTGCAGAGTCAGAAACGGTGTCGCGGTGTGTATTTACCCGGAATGCGTTATCAATTCCGATTGTCCTCGAGACAGAGCTTGCTTCGCGCAAAGGTGCAAAGACCCTTGCATCGGCGCTTGCGGAGTCAACTCGCTTTGTCAGACCGTGAACCACAAGCCCGTCTGCTCGTGTCCGCCTGGATTCACTGGAAATGCTCGAATACAGTGCATGATTCCAACTGTTGAAGGTAATTATTCGAAATGCCATGGTGATTCTTCTAGATAGAAATCAAAAATCTATAATTTTTGTTTTATTACGTATATTACAGAACCAGTTCCGGAGTGTATTCAAAATTCGGAATGCCCGAACGATAAGACTTGTTACAACCAGAAATGCATCGACCCTTGCACTCTCGATTCGTGTGGCTACAACAGCCGCTGCCACGTGCAACTCCACCGAGCTGTATGCGTTTGCAACGAAGGCTTCACCGGCAGTCCTCATCAATACTGTGGCGCAAGTACGTTCCTATTTTAAATTATTCAAATTATTACAAATGCATAGTGTTTACAATTTTCATAATATCCGCAAATCTATCTCTTCATCTTATCGTAATCAACATATAATTATTATTTTATTTTGTAGTTGGTTGCCGAGGGGATAGTGAGTGTCCGTTGACGCAGTCCTGTATAAACAACGAGTGCGTGGACGCTTGTTCCGTTACGCAGTGCGGCGTCAACGCACTATGCAGATCCGACGGCTTCCATAGGCCAAGGTGTTACTGTCTGGATGGTTACCTAGGAAATCCATATCAAGGATGCGAGAGGCCAGAATGCACTAGCGACAATGACTGTCCAACTTCGTTGGCGTGTCGTGATTCGAGATGCGTGAATCCTTGCAACTGTCCACCCGCAGCGCAGTGTTCAGTGATCAATCATCGCGCAAGCTGCCGATGTCCACCGGGTTACACGGGTGATCCGTACACCTCGTGTCTAATGGGTAATTATTATTAATCCAGTTTATTATCAGGAATATGATGAACAGAATTTATTTAAAAATTGATTATTTTTTGCAGAACCGATTGACTTGCAGCCGCAGTGCAGGGTTGACGGTGACTGTCCGAGTAAACTGGGCTGTTTCAATGGAGTTTGCAAAGATCCATGCGTGGAGATAAAACCCTGCATCGCTGGTGCCAAGTGTTCCGTCGTGAATACTTTGCCAATGAGAACTATGGTCTGCGAGTGTCTACCGAATTACGCAGGCGACGCGACTGTTGCTTGCATTCCAGGTAAAATAGAATTACATTATTCTTAGGATAGAATTCCAATTAGGAATAGAATTCTCTATTTGATAGAATAATATCCTATGAATTTTGTCAATATCGCGTATCAAACATGGAACTCTATATTCTTTCATTATTTCCAGTGGACAAACAAATCGAGGCGATCTGCAAAACCGATTCGCAATGCGCTACCAATACGGTTTGCCTGAACGAGAAATGTATCAACCCGTGCATCATTAATCCATGCGCACCGAACGCGGATTGCTCCGTGGAGAATCATTATCGTCAGTGTCACTGCTCTCGCGGTACCGCCGGCGATCCGTTCGTCAACTGTTACAGGGACACCGACACTTTCCCAGAGTGCACAACGAACCAAGACTGCGCAACCAATCAAGCCTGCATCAATCAACTGTGTCAAAATCCATGCGTTAGCACTCAGTGCGGCCTAAACGCGGACTGCATCACCGTCAATCATCATCCAACTTGTCATTGCCAGCCAAACTTCGCCGGGGATCCTCAAGTGCAGTGTTACAAGCCTGAGTGCAAATCGGACAGCGACTGTCCTTATGACAAGACATGTCAGAACAACAACTGCATCACACCGTGCCTTGTTGGAGACATCGCCTGCGGCCGAGGCGCGGAGTGCATCGCAGTTTCTCACAGGGCCCAGTGCGTCTGCCCACGAGGCACTCAAGGCGACCCACGCTTTGCTTGTATATCTACTGTCTGCCATTACAACGAGGACTGTGCTGATCATGAAGCTTGCGATAGATTGAACAGAGTTTGCAGGCCGGTATGCGACGATGATACTTGCGGCGACGGTGCTAATTGTATTGCCAGAGAACATCAGCCCAAATGTGTCTGTCCTCTGGGAAGCTCTGGAAATCCGTACATTGAGTGCACTGGTAAATGATCAAAATTCATTTGTTAAAAGTTTATTGACTATTTTAGTATCAATTTAAGATTGTTCTGATTATCATTTCCGCAAACAATTATGCGTATTCTAAATAATAATGTTTTCTCAACAGCTTTCTGTTATCACTTGATCATTACAATTTGCATTCTGCATTTATATTTTCATTATACACTTTATATATTTTCTGTTACTAAATTTTTTTTCTAAATGTACACAACACGTGGTGATAATTTGTGAATTGGAATTGTTCTCTTCTTGTTCAAGGCGTGTCCGTCGAACCCGAGTGCAAATCGGACAGTGATTGCCCACCGAATTTGGCTTGCATCAATGGAAGATGCCAAGACCCTTGCCTGTCCTCGCCCATGTGCACCGGAGACCAAGAATGCGAAGTATTGAACACTCTACCCCTTCGTACAATGATCTGCAGCTGTCCACCAAATACTGTCACCGACGTGAATGGATTGTGTAAGAAGATCGTGTTCGAAGACGTACAATGTCATCAGGATCAGGATTGCAACAATTCCGATAAGTGCGTGTCCGGGACTTGCATCGAGGCTTGTCTCACCACCCAGTGTGGATTGAATGCTCAATGCAAGGCCTCGTCTCATACTGGAATCTGTCAGTGCCCATCCGAATTTAGTGGCAATCCTTACATCGAATGTGCCCGAGGTACATATTTTTTATTAAAAAATTACTAATTTTGACACAAATATTGTTAATCTTACTAAATATTATCAACCCCAATCGTCCTATAATCGTCAAATATAATGATTGCTTTCAATGACTTTCTGATTGATTCTTGATTGATTTTAATCATAAAATGATTTCTAGTTTCTATCACGGAGCGACCACCACCCAGTCCAGAATGCTATTCCAACAGCGAATGTCCTACTGATCGACAATGTCTCAATTTCTTCTGCGTGAACCCTTGCGTGCTCGGGGAAACGTGCGGCAGGAACGCGTTGTGCTACGTGGACAACTATACTCCAGTTTGCAGATGTCCTGCAAATTATGACGGCGATCCACGGATCAACTGCATACCACCTCAGATCGTAGCCGAATGTACGTCCAACAGCGAGTGCGCGGGTAATGCCGCATGTGTAAACAACTTGTGCATCAATCCGTGCAACTGTGGCCCGAACGCTAAGTGCAACGTCGTGGATCATTATCCATCCTGCGTTTGCCCGCCAGGATACTCTGGAAATCCTCAACTGGGTTGCTTCAAATGTAAGTCCCATCTCTCATTAAGGGTCTATCATCTGTTTTTTTTAATTATTTAAGAAAAACTTTTAAAAAAATTAAAAAAGGGGAGATTTTCTTAGGCATTCAATAATTAGCGAAAATTTATGAATTCTTTGTGAAGAAACTATTTATTCTACGAAATTAAGGTATTGCGTACAGTGATTCCCATCAATATTCGGAACAATTAACAATGAAATAGTTTGTTGAATATGTAATAATATTCTTTTTTTAATTCCAGTGGACTGTGAATCGGACAGCGAGTGTAACAATGCAGCGACGTGTTACAACGGCCAGTGCGTTAATCCATGCATCCTGGAGAACAAGTGCGCGATAAACGCAGAATGTTACGGTCACAACCATCGTGCGACTTGTCGCTGCGGGCCGGGTTACTTAGGAAATCCGGAAGTGCACTGCGAGAGAGTGGAGTGCAGCGCTGATCATGATTGCCCGCGGAATCTGGCCTGCAGCAGCGGGCGCTGCGTGAATCCTTGCGCCGAGGATTCACCGTGCGCTCAGAACGCGATTTGCTACGTCCAGGATCACGTGGCCACATGTCGCTGCCCGGAGAACATCCCCATCGGAAACCCGTATTCTTACTGCACGCATCGTCCCACGACGGAGTTCGACGAGCCCGAGTGCAGAATCGACATCGACTGCGCTGATAAATTAATTTGTGTCAAGAACCGATGCATCGACCCTTGCCCGGTTATCAAACCGTGCTTGGAGAACGCGCGGTGCAATGTTTTGGACACTGTTCCTGTGAGGACGATGACGTGCACGTGTCCCGAAGGTTGGACCACTGACGTCGACGGCGTTTGTAGACCAAGTAAGCAATTTATAATGCATCAAATCAAATATTTTTATATAAATTTAAAAAAGTCCTCCTTATTCAAAAATAATATATTTTTCTGCAGTCCAAATAACAGCAATTGGAACCTGTACGACGAACGACGAATGCAGAGACACGGAAGCCTGCATTAATAGACAATGCAGGAACCCATGCAACTGCGGTTCGAACGCCGTTTGCTACGTGCGAAATCACAAACCCATCTGTTCTTGCCAAGAGGGCTACCAAGGCAATCCAGACATCGCTTGTTATTCCGTCGAGTGCAGAAGGGACAGCGAGTGCGCGTTAGGCAAAACCTGCATAAACAACAACTGTGTGAATCCTTGCCTAGTTTCCGACACTTGCGGCGTGAATGCTGAGTGCTTCCCTAACAACCACAAAGGCGACTGTCGTTGCCGTAAGGGCTACCACGGGAATCCGTTGGACCGCTGCAGGGTGATCGGCTGCTACAGCAACGGAGATTGTCCTGGAGATCACTCTTGCGTCAACATGCAATGCGTGAACCCATGCGTGCACAGCAACCCTTGCTCGGCTCGAGCCGAATGCCGAGTATTCAACCATTTGCCTGTCTGTCGCTGCCCACCGCGTCATACCGGCAATCCTTATGTGAATTGTAAACCGGAAGAGAGGCCGGAGTGTAAGGAAGATACCGACTGTCCGAATCTGTTGGCTTGCTTTAACAATAAATGCCAGAACCCTTGCACCGCGGTGCAACCGTGCACGGATCCATCGGAGTGCAGAGTCCTGCCAACGTCTCCGGTTCGCACGATGGTCTGCGTGTGTCCCAGCGGGTACGTCAGCAGCGGTAACGGTACCTGTCGTCCCACGAAGCCCATTCTACAGGTCGAGTGTACCAGAGATAGCGATTGTCCATCGGAGAGATCATGCGTGAATGCTGTGTGCCGAAATCCTTGCGCCTGTGGTCCCAACGCGGACTGCAGCGTCGTCAACCATAAACCGATCTGCTCTTGCATTCTGGGATACGATGGGAACCCCGACTTGGCGTGCACGAAAGGTAAATATATTTTGACAAACGATTTCCTTGAAAATTAATTACAATGTGATTTCTCATATTTCCTATTTTCAGTTGCCGGATGCCGCACGGATGGTGACTGCAGCGGATCGCACGCGTGCGTGCAGCACAACTGCGTTCCAGTGTGTTCGCCGTCGTTCTCCACCTGCGGAAAAGGCGCCGAATGTCACGGTATCAATCACAAGGCTATCTGCGAGTGCCCACCGGGATATGGAGGCAATCCGAGGGTCTCTTGCGTTCTCCTCGGTTGTAAGAGCAATTCTGATTGCCCTACGAACAAGGCTTGTGTCAACAATCGCTGTGAAAACCCGTGCACGATCAACCCTTGCACTGGAAATATGGAATGCAACGTGTACAATCATGTAATAGAATGCGCTTGTCCTCCTGGCTACGTCGGAGACGCCAAAGTTGGATGCACTAAATGTAAGCATTATTAATTTGTATAATTCTTAATGCTTCGTATATTCTATGGAAAAATATGGAAATTCGTATTTCTGATTTCTTACATCACCTACTATTTGTTTTTTGTAGTAATAGAAAAATGTAAGGCGGATAACGAATGTCCGTCGCAAACTGCCTGCTTCAACGGGGAGTGCATCAACCCTTGCGTGAAAATTGGACCATGCGGAGTAAATGCTGATTGCAAAGTACTTGACACGTCTCCGGTGAGGACTATGATCTGCGAGTGTATTCCTGGATACAGAGGAAACGCGGTCGTTCGATGCGATAAAAGTATGTTCAGTACTATTTGTTTATATCCTCTATTATTTCTTGTTTGTAGAAAAGAATTTACGGAAGAATTCTTTTATGTTACAGCCAATGTATGTCCGGTGGAGAAAGGTGAAATTATTGACGAATATGGAAACTGTATCTGTCCGCCTGGGTCGGCTAAGGATGAAACAGAAGTCTGTGTTCCGTGTCGCAAACAGTCCGGTATGATTATCAACGAGGAAGGTTACTGCGTGTGTGCTTTGGAGAATGGCATGATCATTGACGAATACGGTCGCTGCGTCTGCCCGACTCAGCACGGATACAGATTGGACATTAATGGATATTGTAGATTAGGTAAGATAAAATCTTCTCGTTTTAATATTTTTCATCGTCTTACGATACAAAATTGTTCTGTTTAATTAACATTGCATATATTTTACAGTGGATATAGTCGAGTGCAGGCACGACGACGACTGTGCTGACAATAGATACTGTGATAAGACCAGCCAGACTTGCGAGGATCCTTGCGGGAATCAACTGTGCGGTCTCTATGCACTCTGCAATGTTACTCGTCATCAAGCAATTTGCATTTGCATTAACGGCTATATTGGCAATGCTTACACTCAGTGTTGTAAGTAGACGTTCTTGAAGAGCTTTTGTTACGAATCTTGCTATTACACAGAGAGCTGTTCTTATGTATTTCTCAATATTTTATAATATTTCTATACGATAGATCGAAGCCGCGACGCGGAAAGCTAGTGTTTGATAAATTAATTGAATGTGCTTTTTTATAGATGACAGAAACCGATGGCGCACTGATTTCCCAAGACCAGAGATGGTAGTCAGTTGTTTGTCGGATGGGGTGCAAGTCGAGATACATCTTCATGATCAAGAATTCGACGGTGTTCTCTATGTGAAAGGCCACAGCAAGGACGAACAGTGCAGAAGAGTTGTCTCCATTCCCGCAGAAACAATGCACAAGACAGAAATATTCAAGGTGGCGTTTGGAAATTGTGGACTGATACACGTGAACGTAAGTCCACCTCTCAATATCAATTAATTTCTTCTGACTCATCATTTACAAATTGTATACATTAAAATTACGTTATCTTCAGGGACAAGCGAGCTTCGTACTTGTCATACAAAAACACCCGAAACTGATGACATACAAGACCCAAGCTTATCACATAAAATGCATATACCAAACCGGAGAACAGAACGTCACCCTCGGCTTCAACGTTTCGATGTTAACTACCGCTGGAACTATCGCCAACACCGGTCCACCGCCAGTATGTTTAATGAAAATCGTCACTCAGAATGGGAACGAGATCAATTCCGCCGAAATTGGAGATAACTTGATGTTGCAAGTCGAAGTTCAACCTTCCAGTAAGTATCAAACTGACTTCCAAATTGAAGATTAATTTAATCTCTGGATCATTGCATTTTAATTTAGCAATCTACGGCGGGTTCGCTCGAAATTGCGTGGCCAAGACGATGGAAGACAACATGGAGAATGAGTACATTGTAACTGATGAAAACGGTTGCGCGACAGACCCGACGATATTTGGAGAATGGGAACAGAATCCCGAGACGCAGACTTTAATGGCCAGCTTCAACGCATTTAAGTTCCCAAGCAGCGATAACATTCGATTCCAATGCAACATCCGCGTTTGCTTTGGACGCTGCCAACCCGTTAGTACTTAGTACAGCGATATTATGTACTTTTTATTTAAAAAAAGGATAGTAATGAATAACTGATTGATTAGGTGAATTGCCGAGGATACAATGCGTTCGGTCGTCGCCGCCGAGACGTGACGTCCGAGTCAAACGACACATCCCTAAGTGTCACGGACGGGTACGAAGGACAACTTCGAGAAGAAATTACAATCCAGTCGAATTTGATATTCACTCTGGAGAGGAGAGAAGAGAGGTTCACAGCAGATCCGGCTGAAAGTAAGCCCTCGTTCATTTCCGTTCATTTTTTGATTGTAGGGAAGAAAGGGGAGGTTTAACACGAAACTTTTTTCCGTTTCAGTCGCTTCGGCTCAAAGAGTGGAAGACATATGCGTATCTATGGTCGGCTTTGTGATAGCGTTAGTAATCACAGCACTCCTGGCACTAGTCGCCGTAGCTATCGCCGTATCCTGCTGGCTAATGGCGTACCGTCGCCAGCCAAAGACTGCTGGACCACTGCCACATCCACCAGAGTTCCCAAACCCGTTGTTTACTACCGAATCTGTAGCTGAACCGTCTCCTGATTATCACCAATCATAAGTTCTCTAGGATAATTATTATATTTTAACGTAATTTTACGATTATTCTCAATATGGAATGCAGAACAGACCACGTACTCTTCTTTCTCCTCGCTGGTCGGTCTTGTATTTCTGTGAACGACTCCTCCAGTGGCTGACCTTTCCGTTACTTCCCTATTGAGAGTTCACGAAGAGCGTACGATCATTGTTATATATACCCCGAATCACAACGTAGATAAACACTATAAATATAGATAGAGAGCGCGTGAGAGAGAAACGTTTACTATTTATGGTGATGGTTCGCTTCCATTATCTACACACGAGAGAATTTTGTCTTCCGGTCTATCGTTTCTATTCCTCCCTTATTTAGTCACTGGAGGATTCGTTATTGCGTAACACAGCGAATTTAATTCCCGTGTAAAGTCGAACGAATTAGTCTAATATAGCTTTCTTACTTCGAGCGTAGGTAACTGTACATTTTTTATCTAATAAAGCGCTAATGTAATATTTTTAAAACGGCCGGCATTGTGCATTTTTACTTGTCTCTCTCTCTCATCTCGAGAATTGGTGAGAATTATAAACAGTAAGTATTTAGTCGCTTCAACATATTTTCATGTTTGTTATTATAACCGAACAAAGTACTTTTCCGTTTGAATTTACATAGTGTACAAAATAATCAAATAATGCCTAGTATGTATAAAAATTCAATTCATACATTCGCAATAAATATCATGTTACAATTAATAGATACACAATCTATAGATACATTTTCAATCATAATTATTAATATCCATTTAATTATTCATCCTTTGATAACCGCGATCGGTCTTAATTTTATACATTTCCGGGATATTCCCACGGCATGGCACGTATTTACAACATCCGTCACATTCTTATAAGATTCCGGAGCTTCTTCCATCACTAATTTAGGCGAGGCTACCCTAATGGATATTCCTTGCCGTTCTAACTTCTCCAACACGTCTGTGTAATCCAAATTTCGTCGCGATTTAGCTCTAGACAGAGCTCGACCCTATATAAAAAGAAATGTGATTTATTTATTCTATAACACTCTAAAAATAAAATTAATATTTGATAAACTTACCGCTCCGTGACATGTAGATCCGAATGTTTCTTTCATGCCTTGTTCGGTTCCAGTGAGAACGTAACTACAAGTTCCCATAGTGCCTCCGATTAAAACTGGTTGGCCTGTTAATTGATAATCAACAGGAATCAGAGGATGGTGAGGCGGGAACGCTCTGGTAGATCCCTGGAATGAAATTAAATATTTGATTTTAATATACTGTTTCCTATATAACTTATTTCATATTTACCTTTCTGTGAACTAGAAGTCTTTTTTGTTTGCCTTCTACCATGTGTTCTTCTTCCTTCGCGATATTATGTGAGACATCGTATATAACATGCATATCTAGATCGTCGGGAGATAACTTGAACTGTTTCGCGAACGCCTGACGACTGAGAAATGTCATAGAACTCCTGTTGACCCACGCAAAGTTTGCTGCAGCAGCCATCGCTTTTAAGTAATCTTGACCTTCTTTAGAATTAATATGAGCACAAGCTAACTGCCTGTCGTTCGTCTCGATGTTATCTCGTTTCATCGCTTTCTCCATTTGTACAAGTGCATCTGCGATTAATAAAAATACGTAATGATACCTAATTTATTAATGGACTGCGGATTTTTATGCACAATAAATATTTAATATTTTTATATATCAGATGCAATGTTTATATTTTGTTACAGATTCAGTTTTTCTCTAAATGCATAAAATCCGCAGTCTATTTTTTAAGTATCTTACCAGTCGCGACTTGATGACCAAATCCCCTGCTACCGGAATGAATCATCACACAAATTTGACCCTTTTCCTCAATACCCATTTTACTTGCAGCCCATTTGTCATAGATCTCATCTACCACTTGTATTTCAGCATAGTGATTGCCTGCACCCAAGGTTCCCAACTATAAGGTAATTTTTTTTTTAGTAAATTAAGAACTTTTTGTTACTTCTATACCGAGTCTTAGTTTGGCTCGTAGGACTATGTCTTAAAATTATTCCCACCAGTAGCCAATAAAAATATACACTGGTTAAAAATAAAATTATATCTTTCACCTGTGGAAGGCCACGTTTTTTCGCTCTCATTGATACTTTCGAAGAGTCTGCATTAAGCATCCTCCCATACTCTTCGCAATGTTCCTTGTCTTCTGCCCAAATGTATCCTATATCACATTTCCAAACAGTTAATTCCAGCAAACATAATATTTCAATACATCTATACCTTCTCTAAGAGACCAGTCTATCCCCATCTCTAAAGCTTCTTCTAAATCTCTTGCGTTCATAGGTATGATTCCTTTTGAACCGACGCCAACAGGAATATGGTCAAACATACTCTGTGCGAGTTGTTCCTTAAAAAGAAATCACAAATTACTCTTGTTCCTATACAGAATTGCGTTAAATTGCAATACCTTAACTGGCAACACGTCTTCTTCAAATAGATTAGTCCTTAAGAGACGTACTCCACAATTTATATCAAATCCTACTCCACCAGGAGATACTATAGACTTTGGATCATTCATATCAAATGCTGCCATGTTACCAATAGCAAAGCCATAGCCGGAATGCACATCAGGCAAACCGACAGATCTCCAGACAATTCCAGGAAGTGCAGCGACATTAGCAATCTGTTTCATACCAGGGAGAAAACCTCCAACTGCTCCAGGTCTGCATGCATTCTTCAACTCATCGAACATTAATTTTTCCAATGGTTTATTCACATAAAAAACACCTTCAACCTATAAATAAAACAAATCTGAAGCATGAGAAACTGATATACAGAAATATAAACTGTACCTTCATATTAGGTTGAAAGCCTTTCTTTATTCTCCAAGAGTTTTCATCGATTTTTTCTAAATAGTTCAATTCTTCCTGATATTGCCTGACAACCATCTTGATCACAATAAATTATACTGTCACAAAATTATTACTTTAAAATCTCAAAGATTGCACTATGCTAGATTAATGGGTTCGGCTACTTCTACATATGTAAAATAACCGCATGCATTCTAAGTATGACAATATTTATTCAGTTACAGATGGAGCTTCGTAATGTCATCTGTCCTTATCGGTCCTTATACAGTATCGTGAAATATGGCTGCTCCGGTGAGAACAACTGTGAAACAAGTGAAACCAATTTTATCACTGACTCCTATCGAAGCTCGCAGGAGAGTGATAACTTTGTATAAAGCATGGTATCGTCAAATTCCATTCATCCGTATGTACCTCAATTATTATCATTGTGCAAATTATATTTATCGTTACTTAACCTAGTTGTTTCTAAAATAGTACATTTTTAACGAATTAAGGTCTTCTTTTATTAAATACAGCAATTCTTTGTTATTCATGATTCAACATAAGCAGTTGACAGTATGAGAATTGCGTGATTTTAAATTTTATTGAAAAATCAAGATGATACTGTTTTCGTATTGTAGGCCAATAATTGATATATTTATTGTTTTATAGAATATAATTATGACCTTCCAAAGACATCAGAAGATTGTAAGAAGAAGTTGAGAGAAGAATTTGAACGTTATGCTAATGTGCAAGATATAAGAGTCATTGATTCATTACTAATTAGGGTAAGAATTATAAGTTTTATGTAATATACATCAACTCAGTAACTGTTTAACTGGAGTATGATTTTCTTTGTGTCTCAGGGACAAATGGAACTTCAAGAAGTCACGGCTAAGTGGAAACCACCTTGCACGCTATTAAATTATTGGAAAGATACGACAGAACCTAGACCGAAAGATTTTATGTCCAAATTCATCTCAGGAAAGGATTAAACCTCGTGATCTTAGAAAATGAAAGCAGTAATATGTAGAATTAATTATTCGTAAGTTCAGCGAAGAGTCCTTACATATATTTACGTTATCTAAAGAAATAAATTTGTGAAAAGGGGAGGAAACTATGTTTGTTTATTAGAAAAAAGAAATCGAGTTATACAACGTTTGAAAAGACGAACCTTTAATCAGCTCTTACAGAAGATAATATTTCTTTTAATTTACATTTTATCTTTACATCTATATATTATTATTCACCTATATACATTTGACAAGATGATATATTACTAAGCACCTTAGGTACAATCTAGTTCACTTTTCACAGCCATACGGATTATTTGCTTTCCTCCAGTGAACAAGTATCGAAATTATACATACATACATGTATATACATACATACATATGCCCGAAGCACGTGCGCATACTTAACTATCTATTCTTCTTCCCTTAGTCGCGTTGCGCGACGGGAATCGTTTGCACTATCCTCGACATAGACATCTTTTTTACATGATCTCTGTACTTCTGTATACTTTGGTTAGAATCATTTTTATAAAAATCGTTCTAGCTTCATTATATTCTCGGATTAAAAAAATTTTAACAGATAGATCTCGCGCCTACGTAAAAAAAGAAAATTATGTTTCGCCGCCAGTATAAAGCGTACTTTAATACAAGTCGTAAAATATTTAGGTATTAAAAATATACACGGTCCGGTAACTTTCATACCCACAAATTCTGCCTATCTAGTATACGTTAAAAAAAAATGGCAACAATACATCATGCTTATGACTTCGTAATGTAAACGTCTTTGTGTACTCGTACGTTTTGTAAAAAAATCTCCTTCGTCTCTCCTTAAAGAAGGAGCGCAACTTTTGGATCAAACTATACTCTCGCGTTCCGACTGTATGTCGTAGCCAGCTATCACACCCCTCCTTAAAGAAACGTCGCTGTTGCGTAATCCATTGCCACTGAACAGATTCATCAGCCAACTTCTAATCGAGTTTCTCGCGGAAGACTTCTTGTCCGGCACACTGTCCGTGCTAGGAACTTGATCCAGCGAGCGCCAACGTTTAACAGGCACTACTTCTCCCAAATACCCAGTCTCGTCTCCTAACAACGGTGTCTCTGCTTCGTTCGGCGACTCTTCCACCGTGTGAGGCACTATTATCACATTGCCGTTCGGATAATTATTATTTAACACATTATCGGAAATATTCGTCTTCGAGTTAGTCCGCGTGCACTTGTCACAGTTTTCTAACGACCGGGAGCTCTTCTTCGGCTCCTTCCAGGAGGAAATTGGCGACTCGAACCTCTTGCTGTAAAGTTCCAACGGGAATGGGTCTAATGACCGGGACTCCCTTAATATTGCTTGGAACGGATAATCGCTGGTGGAAGACGACGACGCGATCGTCGACAAAACTCTCGCATTTTTTCTAAATTTCGGCCTTGTGTCGATGAACAAATCGTCGAGTGCCATTTTAATGTTCGCCGCTCGATTTTCGACCTCCTCCTGCAGCGCGGCGTTATCCAGCGTCGTCTTTGATATACTGTCGGTTAAGTATAAAGGAGATCGGTCCAATCTTCGGGAATTAAATTTAGGCACAGGACTGGATCCTCCGCATTGGGATGAAGAGTCGTCCGGCGTCGGCCTCGGAACGCACGATTGTCTGCGACTGCCCGCTCCTAAACCGCCCAACAATGAAGCCTGTCGAGAATCCGAGTTCAATTTTGGGCTCCTCCTTGGTCTGCAAAACAGCGGTGCAAGATCGCCGACGTCAACCTGATAATATAGAAAGACACAAAAATTGAAATAGAGGAATACATAACTGCTAGACAATTTTATGTACAAACCTCTCGTTTCTGAATGGCTTTCTCGGTAGCTCCCGTAAGCCAGTAAGTTTTCACTTCTCCTTTCCCTTTCATGTGAACTAAACCGCGTTCCTCGATAATGTAACCACCGATCTTGTCCAAGGCATTCTTGCACTGCTCGCTTATGTGAATGCGCAATGGTTCTCCGTTCGATTCCATTCGCGAAGCCGTGTTTACGGTGTCCCCGAATAAACAATACCTAGGCATTGTTAGACCAACGACACCTGCTACTACAGGGCCTACAACGTTTGTAAAGTCATATTGACATCTTTCATTTTGTTTACTCGATACGCTTTTCATTCAACGCACGATACCTGTATGAATTCCAATGCGCAATTTAAGAGTGTCTTGAGGCCTGTGAGCTATGGCATGCTGTTTCACGGCGTTAAGTAGTTCCAGCGACATCGACGCTATTTCTCCGGCGTGTCTGTTTCCATTTTTTATTGGCAAACCAGAAACCTGAAAGAAAGAATAAATTATTATAACGTTACGTAAAATAAGCTACTAAAAAACCTACTAAAATTGACTTACCACCATGTAGGCGTCGCCGATCGTTTCTACTTTATATACATCGTATCCTTTGATTATCCGATCGAACAAAGTGTACAAGTCATTCAGAAAGTTCACGACCTGGGTAATAAAAGAATGTCAGCAATTCGAAACATATGAAATTTCGTAATAATTAAAGAGGTAATATATACCTGGAAAGGTGTACTTTCTGCTGACATCGCAGTGAAGCCGACGATATCGCTGAAGTATATAGTGACCAAATCAAATGCCTCCGGTTCTACACCGATTCCATTCGTCAAACAATTAGCTACGGGTCTGTAAAAAAGGAAACAGTAAAGCGTAACCGAGCCATCGTTTGATAAGAGACGAACGGAGGAAGTTGAACATACTCGGGCAACATTCTATGAAGCAGATCTTCGGTTTTCTGCTTCTCCTCGAAAAGAAGGCGTGTGCGTTCACTGACTAGATCTTCGAGGTTGTTCGCATATTTCTCCATCATGTCCATCATCTGGTCCATAATATTCCGATGCCGTCCCGCTTTCATTTTCTTTAGTCGGGTCCGTATCATTTTAAAGTCGGGCCTGTCCTCGGGACTTTCCGCCCAACAATCGGTAATCGTACTAACTATATACTCAGCGCAGTCCGCTTCGGACTCGGACAGTATGTCTATGTTAGGTCTAAACGGCGGTTCACCATCTTCTGGGAACCTTTTCACTCGGTCTATGATTTCTGTCAATTTGTTAACGTTCAATATTTATATTTGTCTGCAGCTATACCTTTTGGCAAATGCCGATTAAAGAATGACAATCGCTTAACGCTAAACGATTCGCTTACTCTGCGTACGGATATTTACCTTTGGGTTCTAGATTCACACCGCCGTACGGCCCCTTGCGTCCGATCATCTCGAACAGTATAATCGCGAACGAATAAATGTCGCCCTCCTGAGTCCCTCTGATTGGAGCATTGGGATTCCTCAATAGCTCAGGTGCCTTCCAGAATAAGTCTGCAGGAAATTTCATGAACAAATAATATTCGTACAATCGTTAAAGATAAATGGATAGATGAAAGTTTTAAAAATAACTGTCGTACTTCGATAATACTGATGTTCACCAATGCTGTCGGACTCGGCACAGTGGCGCATATCGTGCAGACCGAAATCAGAGACTTGAAGCACCCATCGCGAGGTCACCACGCAATTGGAAGACTTCAGATTACCATGACAGACTAGCACAGATGACTCATGAATGTACAGCATACCCTGTGAAAAAAGAGAACCGCATGAACAAATATTTTCACGATTAGTTATCTCCGGTTCTCAAATACACGTTTACCTTAATGAGATCGTGAACTAATGACGCGATGAACATATCATCTAACTTGATATCTTCGTTCTCGATGATATCCTGAAACACGCACGCAATGGGATCATTCGCGATGAAAACACGCCGCGGCTCATAGACCGGATTACACGGTCATCCGTGTGCATTAAGGTGACGTACATAAAGACTTCCTTTGGCGCAATAGTCCGTAATTAACAATATCCTCATTGGCTCGACGCACGCACCGATGAAAGAGTTCAGGTTGCCGTGCCTGATCTCGCGAAGGATACGCATCTCCTTCATCACGTCCCTCGATATGTCCTTCTTCTTCGAGAACTTCAGCTCTTTAATCCTCACCACCACGCCGTGGTAATGCCCGGTTTGCGCGAACACCTGGTTCCCGCATCTTGACTCGTAGGACATTGCGCTAACTAAACTTAACTGTAACACATTATGAAAAAAGTGTTTCAATCTTAATTTATATCGGAAACAGATGTTTAAAGCTTTCTAAGCTTTTTTTACCGCTTGTAACTTGTTAAAGCATCAATATGTCGTGGAACAGGGAAACAAGGAGTCGTGTTGCTTACCTTACTAGGGGAGGACATCAAGTTGTCAAGATGAGGATAACCGTGAATCTCACTCGGATCGATTTTCCACAGCAGCCCCTCAATCTCCTGCTCTATCTTCCACCGCCGGTATATACTCATGGTGATGACCGCCGCGCAGAACAACAGAACGGCCAGGACACCGGCCGCCACGATGCTACGTAGATGCGTGTCGTCTTTGGGACAGTGCTCGTTGTGGAAACCGCATCCCGGTTCCGCTTCCGGTTTATTCTTACCCGGCCAGTCCATCGCCTCCGACGGCCTGTACACCTGCGATCGAGATCCGTCCGTTGATACTATGTATTTGGCTTGCACGAGGTCTACGCGGTCCCTGTTTAACTGTATCGACCCGATCGCGACACGATTGTAAATTAGTTGCACGAGAATGCTGTAAACAACTCACTCACTAGAGTTTCACCCGGTTGAAATTGGCCCACAGGCTTCATCTGATAGTCGCAGGAGAAGTTGTTGAAACGGAACGGATCCTTCTTCAGGGCCAGCACAGAGAAGTTACCCTCGGAATCGCCGTACTTGTCGAACTTTATCGTCGCGCCGCTAACACCTGTCACAGATCATCTCAACATTTTTATACAAGATAATTGCTTGGGATTATATCCGCAATCTTGAACTACTTTAAACGAACGAAATCGAGAGCGTTGTACTCTGATTTGATTTTATCGATGATCGAAAACCACTTCAAGTCGAAGATTATAAGTGTCTATACTTACTCTGATACGTGTGATTTCTGATAATCGTCTCGATGATTTGAGTACCGTTACTGGCGATTTCCTCGAGCGTGTGTTCCGGTTGATCCCTAATAAGTTGGTCCAGGGCTATCGCGTACAGTTTCACGGAATCGTAAAGATACGCGGCGTGGATCGACACATACTGAAATCGTCCAATCCATTAGGCAACTGATCTTAAGATCAATACAGAATTAAATTAATAAGTTCGAGGATGATTTACCTTCTCGTATTTCCTGAGCAATTCGGGGATGACAAAGTTGAACGGTTCCTTGCTGCTGTAATCCCTGACTTTCTTAGTAAACTCCTCGTAATTCTGCGTGGGTGGCGTCGACACCACTACCATCAGAGATCGCGCCTTCTTCAGGAAGTCCTTCGGCTCGAGACAGTTCTGCAGGTCGTCGAAGTGTTCCGGTTCTGCAATGCCGTGCGCGATGCGAGGTCAGAAAAGAGCAGAGCGGTAGCGTAACCTTTCGTGTAGTAGGGAAACGTAAATATCTGACTCGAGAGAGCGGGGCAACGAACCACGGGTACGACCATTAAAATCGACTCACGTGCCAGAAACCGGGTCACGAACGAGCCAAGCTTGACCCATAACGTTCGGTTAATCTCGGATTAGACACGGAAATGGTGAGGTAACGTTTCGCCAAGGAACAACAACCGGGGACTGCGTTAAAGAAACTATGGAATTGGGTCAATCGAATTTCACAGGTCGTTTAGATGTTCAATAGCTCCATTTCGCGAGTCTTATTTCTTACGTGGCGGAGTCCACGATAAAATGATAACAATTATCTGACAATTGTGGCAATAAAACAAATGCTACTGTTAAGAATTGTAGAAACAAATCCCTCTTTTTCTTTTGCTTCGCCAATTAAGGGTGTTAGGATATACATATACTTAAACAATGCAATACATCCTTAAGCAACGAGATCTGAATCAAACGGTTCACAGTACTCACTCCATAAGTACTTTTGCGCCTCGCGCGGCGAATACATCATCATGTCCACGTGGATCACCATGTACTCTCCGTTGTCCAGCAGCCTTTGGTTCTGCATCTGGTTCATCATGTCGATCAGCGACATCGCCGTCCCCACGAATATGTAAACTGCATCAGAGACTTATATTAGGAAGCAACGTCACCGGCCTGGGAACGCACCGTCGACGACCGATTTTTAGGACGGAAGCGATTTTCACGGTTCACTCTCTTAACGGAGGAAAACTAGCTCGTACAGTTATTATCGGTGAGATGATCGGGAAACGCGTGCCAATTCCCACAACGCGAGTCTATTATAAACGGTAACGCATGCAATTTGTTTGGAAATCAAGTTTTAGTACCGAAGACTCGAAGTTAATATTGGAACATTGTTATTGATCCAATTAACGCAGAGGAAGATAAGTTTATCTTTAACCTTTTAAATCATAAACTGCTTTGATTCTGATGGTACTAAAGATTACTATAGTGTACCGATATTGTATCTGGGACGGTAAAATTGCGACGAAACTGTTCCGCCGAGTGCTGTCTCTATTTTCATCCAAGAAAATACGACTCTACCGCGTTACGGCTCGTACCCATAAACGACGTACAAAGACAAACAGAAATGAAAACGAGGGCTTCCGAAAACCAATAAACAGATCCGAAAGGATCGTTTCTGTCCGTGTCGCGCCGTCGATGACGTGTTCCCGCGAGGTAACAATATTTTCGGTCGGGACGTAAAGGAAACTGACTTCTAGTCATATTTTTGGTGTCCTGTATAAGTTGGAACCATGGGTTCGGTTGACAGCAGGCCATCTTCTCCTCGCAGCACGTGTGACGATCCTCGACGGTCTTGTAGTGGTTCACGGTCAGATTGTTCTTTTTGGCCTGCTCCTCGAGCGACCTGGCCACCGTCGACCACGCGTTCTCCGTGATGATACTGAATTTATTCCAGCCATAATGAAGCAGCAACGCGATCACCGACTTTGTCACCTGCGTGTCCGGCGGCTCGGTCCTCGCGAACGTGTTCACCTTCGACGCCTTGTAGTCCGAGCATTTCTGCAATCCATACACGGTTTCCCGGTTGCGTTTAACGCATGCTACCTGTATTTCCCTAGCCTGTCTTTGTGTACATATTACTAATATATAAAGAGAAAGCGTTCGTTTGTATGTTAGCAAAAATCTTAACAACGACTGATGAAAATATAGCTCTATTTCTGCAGGGCATATGAAATTTGGCGGGTTGATAAAATTTTGAAGGATGATCAAAGAATCGATTGGGGTCGATAGCCATATATGTATCGGCGATTGATCAGCATAATTGAAGTGGTCGATGCAAGTGGTAGAACATCTAACAGTCATCGATGATACGTATCATCAAACTCTGTTTTCAATAATCTAAATCTATGTAATCAGATAAACCTGAGTAAAGTTATCAAAGAGCCAATAGACGAAGGAGCGGAGGTAGAGAAGAGCGGTTGGTAGAGGTCGAAAAGCACGGAATGGGATGAAAGGAAAGAAGGAGTAGAGTAGGTGGAGAGGAGATCGAAAGACAGTAGAAGGCAAAGTGGGCTGCGCCATGGTGTGTGGCGCGCGGTTAAATATAAACCTGTGGCAGGCGGCATGGCAGAGCGAAGGAGGGCAGGAGGAGAGTGGAATGAACGGGGCACCTCTCTTTTATACGCGGTGCCACTCTCGGCTCGTGAAGAGGAACGCGCTGCACAGCGTCGGGGCGGTTGCTCCGTAACGTTCAAATGTGACAAGCGCTCATTAACATATAAATTAAACGTGACAACTGGGGCTCAGTCCTACAACCGTAGCGATCACCGCGATCCACTTTCCGTTGTTTTCTGCCCTATTCCTTTTTTCGTTTACCTCCTATGCTCTTGGATTTCTATCAGAGGGTATCGAAATGAACCCGCGATCGTCACTTTTCCCTCGTTAAAACGCAACGCTGTTCGTTCAGATTTGTATTTAGATCGTTGGCTCGTGTATTATACGCGTGGCTCGCAAACAGAAAGTACTAAGAGAAAAGCTTTCTCCGATTTATCAATCCGCTCTCTTCTTCTAATAAACAATTAATATTTGCATCAAGAATTCAATCAATTTTCATAAAGTTTAAGAAATCTCTTACTCTCCTGATTCCAGGAAGTCAGCAATTTATTATGTACATAATTATACAAGAAATTAATATGTATTATAACGTGATTTATTTCACTCGGCTAGTCTCTCTTCTCTCTTATTTCCATTCCGATCATCAATCATAAGGACTAGCACTTGATGTTTATTTTTGGTTTGAAACACCAAATGGTAACTCGAGGTAAACATGAAATGAACGGATGCTCGTAAACCGAAAGGAAGCTGACTATGCGCCGCGTGATAGCGACGGTTGTCGTAATCGTCGCGTAGGAAAAAAAAAATGAAATTGATCTGACGGGAGGAAGTTGGTTGAGCCGCATCGGAATGACAAAATTATGATTGTCCATCGGGTTAGAGAGCCTCCGCGTCTGATTAAAAAGGAAGCTCGCTTAACTTCTCGACCTTGAAGGAATGAACGGATGCTCGTTCAATGCGTGATCTATCAAATTGACGATCAATTGTCCTCTGGCTATTGTCTAATGGTACCGTGGTTTGGACTTTCTTACAGGTTCAACTGTTTAATTAAATACGATAGAATTCTCGAGTTCTGCGAGATCTTTATCAACAGATTACATACTACGTGATCCCCGTTAAGAAGATCAGAAGAGCTACAGATGAAAGCGAACAACAGCGCAACGATGTTCCCCAGATTTTACATAGATCCCGGCCGGTGATCGATGATTCCGTAGACGAAACTGGTTCGGCTTAAAAGAAAGAACTATCTAGTCCCCTATTCCCTCGACCAGACAGAGGGTCAAACAAAAAAATAGTGACGCCGACGCGAATCATAGAAGAGCATATTGTTTTAAACACGGGGCCACCGGTTCTGTTCGGGGTCCGGTAGAAACGAGATCGAGTAGGGAGGGACTGGTAGACAAAACTGAGGGAACAACTTGGTCAGGTTATCCCGGCGGGTTGGTGAACGAGTCGGGGTTTGGTCATTGTCGGCTTGCGACGTGCTGTTATTCTGGGCTCCACGCGGCTATATTTAGACGAGACCACCTTGAGGGAGCTTGAGAGAGCTCGAATGCTCTCCGCGGACTGCAACCGCAGGAGAGCCTTTTCTCTATCCGATCGCGGGCGCGTTAGCTCGGTTGTGCAACGGTCCGCGATCGCTTGAAAATCGCCACCGAGGAATTCCTGCCCACGCCTCCGTTGTTCCACTTCGTTACTTTTATTAATAGGTTTCTCTCTCTCTCGATCGATTACACGATCAATTAGAGGAGAAAATGCTGGAAGTAATATTGAGAAGACGGAAGAATCGCAAATTGTTAACGAAATATTTAATAAAATCTACTACTGTTTTATAATTGTTCACTGCATCCATAAAACACGTATTTTGTTTTTCCGCTACGCGAAAGGCGTGTCGTTCTTAAAAATTATGCCGCGAAGCGTGGAACGCGACGCATTCATCGACTAACAATTACAAGCAAATCCAGTTTGATCTCGCGAATCAGCTTACGCTTCGATTACCTCTGATCTTAGAATAGCTAACGCCGACGAGCTGTTGTCCCTGGGTCTTCCTGTTTGCGCGAGACGGAAGTCACACCTGAAGGCTCGAGGGGAAGTTAAAAGAACGCGTTGGAATATTAATTTCGCGTTTAATCCGTTCGAGACCGGGAAATCGTCCAAGGACTGCTCCAGAAGCGAATTGGATGAATCATTGGTTAAATCGCCGTCTTGAGTATCGATAAATACGACCGGAACGGATAAGAAGTTTTTTTTATTCGTTTCGACGACGAACAAACGGGGACAGAACTCATTTTTTTCCTCGCCACTAAATTACTCAGTTTGAAACTGCTATCTATTGTGAAACGAGACTATAAATAGATAGATGGAAGATAAGTTTCTACTTAGAAGTCGTTACTACAACGCAAAGTTACAGGTGATACGACAAATTACAACCATGAATTCCACAACCTTTCTCTATAGTTCGTGATTAGATAAGATAAATTGTCCCGATTCCTACTCACGACCCAATTTCTACTCATTAACGTCGTTTCTTATAATTTTAAAATAATGATGACAATATGACATCATATACGCTATAATTAGTGACGGTTGTTTATTATAAATTAGTACTTTACATCGTTTTATTAGTCAAATAAATAGCTGACGATCTAAATAGAAATACAGACATAGGTGACTAGAATTAAGGATTCCCAGTTTTAGAAATAAAGACATCCGAAAATATTTTTCACCATAAATTTTGATTTATACGTTGTTTTTTATGTTCGGTGGAATCACGCTTACAATTAGTTGAGAAGAAATTGGAACATTTCCACCTTAGTAGCTACGTGATACGTGCAGTTTTTTAATTTTATTGCACGACATACATCTTAGATCTAACCGACGTGTCTTTGCGATAACGGTGGAGTTAATAAATTGGGTAGGTGCGAAGGAACAACGGTTAGCGTTGTGCCAGGAATACCATTCCACCCCATGCGCGATGCTACCACTACGGGTTGCGGGACAGAAAGATCGGTTCTCGGGAATTCGCGAGCGTGTGAACCGATCACGTTCTGGCCCGTTAATGGTGGCTATTAGTGTTCTCGAGGGGACCGTTTACGTGCGCAACATCTTGCCGAACGACACCGAACGTGTCGCAGATAAATTCGTTCCTCTCCCCACCGGTGAAACGTACCTCCTTATCTTGAATATCAATCCGCCAGTTTGTTCATCCTCAGATTCATTCTTCACTCCTGAAGGGTAATATTTCCTCTGAGAAAACAGGTGAAAACGCGGAACGACGCGTCGATAGAGAGAAGGAGACGAGCGAATTCTTTCCAGGAAATTAGAAAGCCAGCGATCGCCATTAGATAATTGAACTTGAAGACTTAACGCCGATTAAGCTCCTCTTCTCGTTCAGGTTGCCTCTGTATGCGCGACGCGAGACGTCTGTCCCTTGTAACGTCCACATAGCTTCCTAAATTATGCCGTTAATACACGGCTATTCTGGATTCCACTGCGATCGTTGAGGATGGTTGAACCGACCGAAGATCAGCTGCCCCGATAATGGTGCTCGTTAAGCGGAGCAGGACGCTTCATATCTTCGTCTAACACGATCCAGTTCGAGTTTTGCTCGGAGCTTTCGCGCGACACCATTTGCGGAGTTCTTCCGCCAATTAAACGCCGACCGAATAATTAACGGGAAACAGGTGAATGAGATGGACAGGGGGGAGTGTAATCCCGCCGTTTCGTTGCGTAATCGTTATACTCGTAATTATGAACAACCGTAATTAATGGGACTACAGATGAAAGCGGCAAGGTTCATTAAACTATTTTTGATATATGTGCTTATAGCGGAGTTCATAAATATTCGTATACATTCCGAAGTTGAGTCTTTTAATATTAGACTTGACGAATTAACTTGTTTTAGGTTTTAGTATGCTAATCTCTTTAACTAAAGTAATATATTATAAAGTACTAGTGGCAACACTGAATTGTATTTAAATGTAAAAAATATAAATTATATCAATATGCAAGACAATAGATTTAGTATTAGACTTTTAGCAAGCTCACGACTCGTACAACACTAAATAGCAGATTTAATAGGTTTATAAAAATCTTCAAAAAATAAAGAATGTGTGTAATGTGTTATTGAAAGTAGAATATACATCATTCAACTCGCATAAACGTCGACAATCTATTAGTGGCTCAAAAAAACCTCAAACTATCCAACAGTTTCCATCTGTATGTCATTTTTTGTTTGCTTTCGTATAAGATTTTTTGGTTTATCTCCTGTGAGACATAAGTGAGTTTAAAAAATCGCGAGGTATTTAAATGACTCAGAGCTCCGAGTGTTAGCTCGTTACGAAACGGATTGCGAAATACGAAGTCCAAATTGTTTTGATTCGATGTTAATATTTCCTGTTAATAAATATTAGGTTTGCGATCCACTCGATTCAAGGCGTGCTCGT